TGGATTAGAAACGTGGTTAACAAGTTGGCCATGTGCCACACATGTTGTTAGCTTAAAGACCAAGCTAACTATGTGGTCCACACATAGAAAAACTTGCCTTGTAAGTCAAGGCAAGTGTCCTACAAAGTCAACACATATTGAAAGTCCTATAGAACGTCGCCATGTAGTCCCTAGTTAGATAGTATATATAGAGACAAGAGTGAAACTTTCTTCACTCTTGTCAATTCTTTTTATATTTCCAGTCTAGTTTCAAGAGTCGTCATATTTTCTAATCTTTGGCAATAGCCATTCTAATTCAATATATTATCACCTTTGAGTGATTTCTAAGTATTTTTGAGTGACACAAGAGTTTATTGAGATTATCTTTCTTTGGAGTTCATGTCCTTGATACATAACTTAAAAGACATGAAGTTCTTTTTCATATACTGCAAAATATTGTTAACATTTAGCAGTATTCTAAAATTCATAAACGTGTTCTTTGTCATAAAGATAGGATTTTAGTCTTTGCAATCTTTTTTCAATCACTTTCTCCAAATTTGACCATAAAGGTTTTTAAGAATGAATTCACATTATAAAAGAGTTGTAAATCATTTTCCATCAAAGATGCAAACTAAGAAAGAGTATTTTCAAATAAAAATGTACCTATAAATCCAACTTGAGTAAATCCATTAGAATGTTGTAAAGAATACATCCTTAAATAGAGCTTGACTTGTTATAGAAATCCTTGAAACTTTGATCTTGTTCTGTCAAACTTCTTTGATATACTTATCATTGTTTCTTTTATAATTATAAAAGCAAGATTTCTTGCATTCAATTATAAACTTGATATATTTGTTTCTTTCAATTGTACAACTTCTTGATATAGAGTGTGAACCTCATTGTTGATTTCTTCAATAGGCATAAGAATAGTACTTCTATGGTTAACATTAGAACTATGTGAGATTTTATTCCTAAGAATATTGAAAAACTTGTGAAGATCTATAATAGTTGCAAATCTATTCTCACTTCTACTGAGAGTAGCATGCACAATTTTTTCTTTCATTGATAACTCAAATAAACTCACAATTCAAATTAGAAGAAGATAATCTGCAACCTCTAATATCAAATGAAAATTTCTACAAAGAAAGATAGTCTATTATCTTTAGAAAAAAAAAAAAAAAAAAAAATCAATGTTAAAAAACTTAAACTATTAATTTAAAGGTGTAAAGTCTACAACCTTCAAAACACAATAATAAAAGTGGGCAATTCACTCACTTCTAAGAACAAAATAAGAAGAATGAATTAATACTCTTATCAAATTATCAAAGACATGAATCTCAAAAGACTAGAAAATCAATACACTCTTATATCACTTAAAAGGACTAGAAAATCACTCAAAAATGATATAATTTTAAATTAAAATTACTATTTCCAAAGATAAAAAGATTAAAAAGTCTTGAAAGAAGACTAAGGACTAGAAAGGAATTAATAAAGATGAAGAAGGCTTTATTCTTGCATCTATATGTACTATTCAATTAAAAACTATGTGGAAATATTTTATAGGACCTCCAATACATATCCAACTTGCAAGACACATGTCTTAACTTGTTAGGCTAGTTTTTTTATACATGCACTACATGGTTTGTACCATAAGCTATCAACAAATGAAACACATGACTAATTTGTTGGCTAAGTTCTAACTTATCAATCAATTATAAACATATTGTCATATTGTAATTTGGCTATCATGTGAAAATAATGTGCATGTATATTTTATATATAATTTATTATATGATGTGGTGAAAGCCACGTTATTAGATTTTAGTTGGTTACAAAATGTGGTTAGATTATTACTTTAAAGTAGCTAGTCTAAAACGGCTATTGTTGACATTGATTTTTATATTGATAATAATTTTACATATTTAGAGCTATCTTTATTAGACATTGATGACTCTTAAAATCTTATTTTATTTCTTTTGTATGATATTTATAACACATATTATATAAAACTTATTAAAAAAATATTAAAGAAGGATTTTTATATAAAAAAGAATAGTTAGGCTATCCATATGGATGAATGGAGATAGATGATAAAAATTTCCATTTCTATTGGCCAAAAGTTATACCTAATGGACTTCAATGAGGCTATTTGAGGCATTATTAAGAGTTAGAATTATTCTTTTGAAGAAATTCAAAAATAAAAGATTAAGATGATCAATTTAAGAATTTTGGATATAGTTTTGGTGCAAATTTTGTGAAATTTGGAATTTTTATAAAGGAGATATAGGGGCTCAAAGTCAAGGTGTTGATTTTGTACATATTATCATCCTTTGGGCCATAGCATGTGCATATAAAGAGCTTTTAAAGATCAGATTATGCGATTAAAAAGTTGGTTTAAAGGACTACATTTTGCATGTAAAAAGAAAAAGGTTTGGAGTTGATTTAGAAGAGCAACGACTACTTGAAGACATCACTTCTAAATTGAGATTTGTCAATGAACCAATTTCATGAGGGGTTCAATTTCAGCCATATCTTAGGCATATGGATGAATCTTTAGCTAAATTTTTTTTCAAATAAATAATTATTATGTTTTTAAGCTAAATACTAAATTTTGTGGCATTTAAATTTTGGATTTTTGTGATATGAAGAAAATAGTACTTAGATACTTATAACTTAAAGTTTAGAGCTTTTGCTAGGATTTCTAAGATGCCAAACAATCTGTAATAAATTTACAATTCATTTTTTTCATTATAAAACTTAAGGATAAATTCTACATTATCTAGAAATTTGAAAAAAATTAAATTTTTGGATCAAGAGATATGGAATTCTAAAATTTGGAAAGAAAAAATCTTTTGCCAAAAAAAAAATATTTTAAAGGAATTTTGCTACAATTTGGGCATTTTATGCAAAATAAAGGGGTTTTTGGGAACCAAGACTTTATACATATGTTAATAATGGATTGTGGTGCTATGTTAAAATTTTGATATAAAGATGAATTTTTAAAGGGAGATTATGGATTTTCTTTGAAATTATTGAAAAACTAAGTTATTGGCAAATGGTTAATTATGATTTGATATAGCAAAAGATGTTAGGAAATTTCTAGATGCTCTAGAAAACCTTATGTACAAACATTTTTAAATATAAAAGGTTTGTACTATTAGAATATCTTTCAATATTGTTGCATTTATTTTTCTTTTATATTTAGAATAAATCACTTATTAAAGCTTGGCCAATAAATTAAAGCTAAACTCTCTATAGCTAGATATCCAATGTATTCTCAAATCATAAATTGTACAACATGTAAAGTCAAAGCCGCATCTATGAAGCTTCTATAAAGCTATTTGACAAGATTTTATCAAATTTATCTATTTTAATTGACTTCTACTTTTTCATATTATTTAAGTAATTATTGGAATAAATACTAATTACATATTAATTTTCAAAAAATACTAATTACATATCAATTCCATAGAAAAACTATAATAATAATAATAATAATAATAAAGCTTAATTTAGTCTCTTACAAATTTACTAAATATATTATCAAGTAGAAACTTATATACAATTTTTAACAATTGACATGTATTCATTCATATTTTTTGTAAAACTATCTCAAAATCTTAAATTATGATTATCAAATTCATGACAAAAGTGGTTTTTTTTAATAAATTAATTGATATTTTTGAAAAGTCCCTCTTTTTGTTCTAGCAACCATCAACCATGGTTCAATATTTCAAAACAAATATTTGAATTGCCAACTTCTGAACACCAATTTGTCATTCTTTGATACCTTATGACTGTTACATATAAAAGGTAAGCGCATTTTGAACACATTACACTTGTGGATACTCATTACACTTGCTTCAGGGTTTGCGGGAAAAAAAATAGTATCCACAATTCACGAAATGCTGTAACAAGTGAAAAACTGAAATCAGTTATGCGGCGTCTTCCGAACCTCTAGCAGCACTTTCGAACAATCAATCAGCGCCAGTGCCCACGAATCGTGACGGGCAAGGAAATCGATGGAGGACAAATGTGAGTGTTATTCATGTCAATTTGCGTGGTGGGTTGTCGCACATTTCACGAAAATTTGCTCGATTCCGCGACTTCGGTCTATCTGTCTGTCTGGCTGTGGAGTTCGACGGGACTCATGTCGAAATTCACGATCTGGTTGTGACCATGAAAGAGGCCATGGCGGCCTCATGCATGACGCTACCGTGGCACCTGCAACGATTTTCGCCGAACGAGTGATTTCGAACACTTGTCAAATCTCCGGTGCTCCTGCTGCTGCTAATTTGAAACCAAGCGCATCGCATCGCCATCCATTGAGCCCCAGTACGCCGGTGGATGACGTCGACCGCTTTCACATACAAACAAAAATAAAGATTAAAACCCAGTTGGGTTGCACGCGATTACACAAACCGTCGCGCTTGATGAAGACACGATGTCTCTGGACGACATTTATGCTTTAGCATGGACAACTGGTGACGGCAACACGAAAACTGGAATGTCTAATGTCGTGCCAGAATGTTTCGAAGGAATTGAACGTCGAATTCTGTATCGGTGACGTGGTCTGATTATTTGGTGTTAAAGGAGAACTGCATAGAATTTTGGGTTTGATTACGAGATGGGACCAATGGCATGCTAGTGTTAAATGAATTGAAGTTCATAGCCGTGGCTACCACACTAATAATAACTGGATTAGTGATGAAAACTGAGGTGAAGCCAATCATCAAACATCGGATGGGAAACATCTGTCAAGTGGCATCCTCATTGCCCCAGCAGGCATGGCAAGATGACGAGAACGGAGTGGAAGCGCTGGATCCATTATGCGGTAGAGAAGCTTTACTAAGAACGACCAGTCACAAACTGCCCCCTCAGGGAATTCGCTTTGTGCTTATGTATGCCCAAGTGGCAGCTACTTGGTCGGTTACGGAGTGCATGTCCATGTGCTTACTCGACACGTTGTTGCTCAAAGGTGGTCGCCGCAGCTTATATCAGTCTCTGAAGTCAGTTCTGTAGATAACGCAATACTAACTTCGCCACTGAGAAGCAGGATTTACTCTAGGAGAGCTGCCACTCTTCTGGATATACAATTACTACTGGTTGAAGCATAGTGTTTTGGTGAATAGCTCGCACTTGGTTGTGTTCATTGTACATCGCGGTTTTGCACAAACATAGAGCTGCTGAGGCGTTGTTCCGTTTGTAGAGAGACAGTGTTGCGTAAGATAATTCATCAACATGGCTTCTGTGGATCACGAGAAGGTGGTGGACTTCGCCAGGCATCAATTGGAGGCTGGAGCCAAGGAAACCCAGGACAAAGCTGGCGGCCCCGAGAATGCATCCGTCATCTCTGCCCAGATTGTTGTTCCTGCCGATACCCACAAGGCCGAAGAGGTAAGCATCCTGGTGAACCTAGACGATTGGATTATCTCTTAGGAAGAGAAATTTGAAATATTTATATGAATTGTTTGGGAGAATGAGTAGGCATTGTGATTTTTTTTCGGTGACTGCTCATTCCAACCACACTGTTTAACGGGCTGGAAAATGTGGTGTCGCATTGTGCGACTAGCAACTCAGTATCACCTCTGGTACACTTACAAATTATGTAATGGTGCTCAAGAAGTAAGCTGGTCACTTTAGAGTTGAAATTTGCTTGAATGCCACCGTCATGCATGCGTCTCCTGACAGCTATGGTTCTGCCCTTGCAGAGAGTCAAGTATCTCGAGTCTGAGGTCGATGGGCTGAGGAAGAAGCTCAAGGATTGCGAGCACGCTCTTCAGATGGCCAACAACGAGACAGACAAAGCCAACCAAGTGGCTCGGGATGCTAAGGCTAAGGTTGTGGAGCTCGATGCTCGTATTTATCAGATCGAGGGGGAGCTTCAGGCAGCCAACAACAGGGCTGCTGGACTTGAGAGCGAGCTGAGGAAATATCGCGCCAAATACTCCGAAGCTAAGGACACAGTGAGTGAGAAGGATTCCATCATCGGAGGAAAAGAGTCGAGAATCGGAAGTCTCGAAGGAAAGGTTCGTCGAATCGATCAATTGTTTTTTCTCTGCACATTCTAGATTTACTCAGGGTCGGTCTACCTGCTGCTAGATACTTTGCACTTCGCTTTAAGATTTGAAACTTGTGGCTTCTGAGACCCAGCAAACTGCATCTCTTCTTTGTGAAATTCAAAATTCGTCGGATTTTGTCTAAGGTCATTGCTGCGCATTTCCACGCCTGCTAATCGTATACGGCATTTGCAAATTGTGCAGGTGGATGAGTACAAATCAAACTCCATTTCCAATGCCGAAAGAGCTGCGAGGTTGGACTCACGCACTGCCGAGCTGTCCAGGAAGGTCAAGAGCATGGAATCCCTTTCCAGCACAT